TCCTTTCCTTTTCTTTTCTTTTTTCCATGCAAAAGTGAAGCCAACTAGTATGCAATTATAAAGAGCTGAAAAATATTTAAAATTACTTAGGTGATATTTTCTTTTTGTTTCAGTTTTGTATTTTGAGTTTTGAATTTATTTTGGGTTTTGTTTTGAGTACCCGTTTTGAGATTGTTGAAAATGTATTCTTTTTAATATTTTAAAAAATTGCTTTGAAAATACCCAAAACTCATTTTGAAAATTTTGACTTGATTATAACTGAAAACACTCAAGATGAAAAATTTGTCGTTTTGTGTTTTCTTTGTAAATTTTTAACTTATTTTCAAAAATAGAAAAGAAAAGGCGTTTTCACTTTTTTGGAAAATCGAAAACAGAAAACGGTTTAAAAATGACAAAGAAAACGGACCCTTAGATTTCTTTTGTAGATTATTTTATTTTCTTATTAATTATTCAAAAATTAATTTCGTCGTAAGGAGTTCAAGTTTTACTGCACTCATGCCAATTATCAAGTTTAAAATGAATATAACTTGCACATAAAATAATTTGATCGAAATATACGAGTAACGTCTAGTTTTTAACTTTTAAACAAACACTTAGCATACTTAACGCTTCATTACTTGCTTAGTTTTCTATATAAAAACCTTTCATTATAATTGTAAAATCAATCTATCAAAATAGAAATTACTTATTAGTGGTGCCATTTTTCTTTGGATTTTGCTACTTGTACCTAAAAATATATACATAAGCGATTATTGAAAATGGGGACGAGAGGAAAAATTGGATGAAAAAGTTAATTATATTTTAAATGGACAAATAATAGAGTATCATATGACATTATGAAATCAATTGTATAAATCTTGATGTACATACAACAAGATCGTTTTCTCTTTATATAACCAAAATAGAAAGCATTAAAATAAAAGGAGATTGAGAGTGGCAAACAACAAATCTTGAAAAGCTATTTAGATAATATCCATCAATCCACGAATTTCTTGGGTTTCGAGCAATGAATTTCGATTGATGGAATCAATCGAAATCCAATGATTGATCTGCAAAGCATTTTCCATCTCACTACCATACATTCGCTCGGTCTCTTTCTTGACAAAGAATTTGTTAGGTATGAATGGCTACCGAAAGGAAAAAAACGAGTTATAAAATCAATCGAACGAGCAAGACTTTTATCTAATTAGTAGATAAACACTATTTATTGGTAATTCTAAGAGCCTGTTTGTCATCCATTTTTTTTGTTTTTTTGGTGTAATGAATAGTATTTTTTGGAGAATGTGTGGTTGAAATTTAAAGTTACTTTATTGGTTTATGTGTAGAATA